GATTCAGCCTCAGTCTGAACTTCCTCAGTCTTTCAAACAATTTCTGCAAAATTAACCAGATGTTCTTCCTATGTCTGAGATTTGACAATCATATCATAAACATATACTTCAATTTCTCTATGCATCATGTCATAAAAGAGAGTGACCATAGCATGCTGATACGTTTCCCCTTCATTTTTCAAACCAAAGGGCATCACCTTATAGCAGAAGCCATCCTCTTATCCATGTCTTCTGATTCCATTTTGATCTGATTGTAATCGGAGAATCCATCCATAAAGGAAAAAACTTTTATCTGAGGAGTATTATCCACCAAAATATCAATATGGGGAAGCAGAAAATCATCTTTAGGGCTTGCTCTATTCAAGTCCCTATAATCAACACAGATTCTTACCTTCCCATATTTCTTGGGCACGGGCATGATGTTTGTAATCCATGGTGGATAAGAGATAACCTTTAAGAAGCCCGCCTCAAACTATTTTTGAACATACTCTTTAATCTTCTTGGACATATCTGGATGAGTTCTTGGAAGTTTCTGTTTGATCAGAGGACAATCTTGTTTGAGAGGTAACTTGTGCACAACAATATATATATCCAACCCAGGAATTTCTTCATAGGACCAAGCGAAGATATCAACATACTTTTGGAGCATTTCAATCAATCTTTGTTTCAAACTTTCTTCTAAAGTGGCCCATATCTTGACTTCTTTCTTCACCTCTTCGGTACCCAAGTTGATCACTTCCTGAGATTCCAGGTGCGGCTGGCTGACCCTTTCTTCCTGCCTCAATAATTTGGCCAACTCTTCAGGAAGTTCACAATATTCTTCACCTTCTTATTTGGCTTGGTAGATTGGATTATCAAAGTCATAATGAGCCATAGAAGAATCGTTATCGATGTAATCCTGAATAAATGTAGGATTGGATCTGCATGATTGATGATTTATTTCTGTATTTTAGATTATGATTAAAAAAGAAAAGTAAAAACACATTGCCATTTTTTTGTAAAAAAGTAAAAACTAAAAATAAATACAGAGAGAAAATTATTTAAATGCATAAACATCATTTATTTATGATAAGCTTGTAAATAAAAACATCGTGGCCCTACAAAATGATCCATTACGCACTGGGAAGAGCACATGAATTATTGCATGATGTAAACAAAATGAAAATTACTCGAAAAAGTGGGTGACTGTGATGACATCCTTAGAAAAAAAGTTGGATGGCTCTTGGCATGGGACCATTAGGTGAATCCAATTATCCTTGTCGCAATCATTGTCACCTACATCACTCACTGCATTAGTCTCTCCATTGCTAGTACCATCCCTTATGAACTTGATAGGAATAGGAATACCTTGAACCCTGGGGATGGTGACTAGCGCATTCTGACCTACTATGAATTCTAAACCATCTTTATCCTTCTTAATAGGGAGTTCTAACACTCTGCCCCAACCTTCGAGGTGACCTACTTCAACCACTGCTTGAGCTAGTTTGTAAGATATCATCGAGACTTCTGACTTCTTCAACTTTGACTGAGGGGTTTTAACAACTTGGACAGTCTTGAACACATGAAATGGAGTTTCATGTACTTCACCCTCAATTTCCACATATATGAAAGAGCTTAGGTGACTCATAGCATAATCCTCTTGACCACAGACGGTGACAACCTTTCCATTAATCAAAAACTTGAGTTTCTGGTGCAATGTGGAAGTCACGACACCTTCCCCGTGAATCCAAGGGCATCCCAATAGACAAAAATAAGAGGGAATTATATCCATCATAAAGAATGTTGCACTGAAAACTTGAGGCCATATCTTTGCATGTAGGTCAACCTCACCAAATATTGATCTTCTTGATCCATAAAAATCCTTCACAACCAAATCACTTGGTCTCAAGACAACCCCTTCATAATCCAATTTTATCAGGGCAGACTTGGGTAGCATATTTAAAGATGATCATGTGTCAACCAGCACACGAGATAAAGTCGTTCCTACAACCTCCATGGAAATGTGAAGAGCTTTATTGTGTTTTCTCCCCTCGGGAGGTAAATTAAAGTCAATCAAACCCAAACCGTTACTAGATGTAATGCTAGCACAAATACCTTTAAATTGGTTTTCAGAGGTCTCTTGAGGGACGAAAGTTGTACTCAACAAATTCATTAAAGCATTGCAGTGTGCCTTAGAGTCTCAAAGCAAGGATAAAATAGAGATCTTCGATGGAGTCTAACTCATCTGATCAATGATATGGTAGTCACTTTTCTTAATATACCTCATTAATTCGTCCATATCTTTAGCTATATCAGAACTTGGAGTATAAACTTGAGTATTTTGTATGGGCTCTTCACTATCCACGACAATATGTTTACCCTTGACCTTAGCCAAGGCGTCAGCACTGCTTTCTGGTGAAGCTTGAGGAGTGAAAACTCTACCACTTCTGGTAATCCTACTATCCCCCACAATATCATGAACTTCAAGAGTACTTTTGGAAGGTTTCTCAATCACGTGTTTATTCCCTTGATAATATAACTCGGACCCATAGCTCCAAGGCACTGTTTTGTCACTACTGTATGGAATTGGACCAGGTAGAGTAGTAGTCAACGGAGATTGTTTAGCACGAATGGAAATTATTGCATGAAGAGGAATCTTCTTTGGATTAAAAGGAATGTTGATCACATCTACCTCATCCTTATCAACTTTCCTATCAACAAACAATCTATCAAACTGCAAAGTTATGGCGCTTTCAAGAAAATATGACACAGACATCCAAATTTTGACACCTTTGCCTAACGACGCAACTTCCATCGCCCGACGATGCACGCTTCGCGTCTAGTGTCGCCCAGCGACGCTTGAAGCAACGCACTCCCATAACTTCCTCCCTTTCTATCCTCCATCGCTCCTTGGCTCACCCGACGACGACTAAGTGAGTCATCATCGCCCGACAATGCTTCTTCATCACTCGACGATCTTGCATGAATAGGGTTTTCCTGTTACGATTTGTGGCACAAACCAGTTCCAATTCCTTTGCGGTTTCACACCAAATCAGACCCAAAACTCATTGAAATCATCATGGTTTCACAACATAATAATAATACAACATTTCAAGCATCACATAGATCATTACTTAGCATTATGACATCAAAATATCACCAATTTCATCATATTCATCATGTTATCAATCCATCCCAAAAACCCCAAAATATCTACATACATCTAAACCCCATATCCAATATAATGACAAGTTACCCCCCCCCCCCCCCCCCTTACCTTAGATTAATAGAGAATTTCAATCCTCTTTAGCGTTCTACCGAAATCCTTCCATGTTCTTTGTGCACTGACTTTCTCTTTATAGCGTCAGTCCTTCCAATATTTTCACGATCGTACTAATGAAATAATCTTCTTCTATTATTCGTTTAACCTTAAAACCCCTAATATTTGCTCAACTTGTCCTCACTTAGCCTTTCACCAATTACCATATTGCCCCTAGCTTCTCTACACAAATTATTCCTTTTTATTTAAATAATAATAATTCTAATGGTATTCAAATGCCTGAATAAAGACGATTGCATTTGGGTGAAACTGGAAGGGTGCTAACTCCATATGACCAAAAATCCCAATTTGAAAGTCACTAAAGGGTAACCGATGTCCCAGCTCCTTGAAGATGAAGTCGTCCATTGGAAAGTGGTTCCCCGAGTAGAACGAGAAGATCCTTCCTTCCTCGGTAGGTTTATAAATCTTCCAGTTCGCCTTAAATCCCTGCTCGCCCGCACCTTGCTCGACGGTCCTAAACGTGTCACCCGAGGAGGCAACGTAGAGAGAAGTTATACCCTGAGGATCTGACCCGACCCAAACCAAGTCGAGATCAGTAACTGTGTCAAACAGTTGAATTCCCTCAGTGCTGCGAGCTATCAAACCCGAAAAGTAGAGGAAAACAGTAAAATCGATGATCAAATCAACTCTTCCACCACAAATCAAGTGAAAGGGCGCACAAAGGCACGCAGACGGATTCCCCGAACGAAGCCCTTACTCAACAGAAAAAAAAGGAAGTCATTACAAACCTTCATCAACTCAAGGTTCGATGTGTCCGCCAAACTGCAGTGGAATCCCCCCTCGACGCCCGCAAGCTTGTGAGTTCCGCGAGGAAAAGCCTCCCCGTCGCATGAACTTCATCACAAATTCATGAGTTCCGTGGGGAAAAGCCTCCCCGTCTCATGAACTTCATCACGAATTCATGAGTTCCGCGGGGAAAAGCCTCCCCATCGCATGAACTTCATCATGAATTCGTGAGTTTCGCGGGGAAAAGCCTCCTCGTCACATGAACTTCACCTAAAATCAAGCATATCTGAAGTTTCTTAGTCTAAGTCCTAGCACTCATCACCGGCACCGGTGTTTGAGGATGGTCGGACCACCACCAAACGCCAACACACGAAGGAATCTAACCGAGACCATGTACAAACAGCCTAAATTTCTAAAAACAACTAACAAAGGAAGCCGAAAAGAGAGAAAACATACTGGCTTAGGAAGAAGAATGAAGACCAATGAAGTTTCGGTGACGGCGATGATGGAGGAACGTCCTGAAAGTCAGGGATCTGGGATGAGCAAGAGAGAGCAGACATGTTTCGTGAAGGGAGCAAAAGTTGCGAATGACACCCATTTTCAATTATTTATAACCAATTCCCCTTGCGCGGGAAACAGGACAGCGCATGAGAAGGTGTGTCGTCGAAGCGACGCATCATTACCCCACTCTTCATAACAAACATGGTCGGCCTACTACCCAGAAAGGCCAAAAGGGTCTTCCTTCACAGGCAAGTCCAATACAAATAAAGGAAAATTATATAATGATTCACATTGTGTGAAATTTTTTATTTTTTGAATATTCAAACAGTGCATAGTGAAAAATAGAAGGTCTATGATTCATTGCTTACAACTTAGAAATAAATAGAGCTTTTAAACTATTTCATTGTTTTTTGTTGTCAAAGAAATAAATTCAATAAGAAAATATCCCTTTAATCTAATAATGTTTAAGCAAGACCTCCTTAATCACTTTGTCCAAGTTTATGTATGAACTACCTCCAGGTCTTGTGTCTTCCTCTACCTTGTTTTTCATCTTCGTTACCCTTTTCCTCATTTCCTTTCCTTTCTCTCCCACCATCAATTCATTCACCTGTTTTTCTACCTCATCTCTCTTTACATTGCTATCAATTTCGATTCCAACCTCCCATTCATTGCAAATAATTCTACTGTTTGTTGGTTGATCAGCGAAAAATGGCCAACACAACATTGGCACTCCAGCACATATACTTTCAGTGGTCGAGTTCCATCCGCAATGAGTCAAGAATCCACCAATTGAAGGATGGTTCAACACTTTCTCTTGCGGACACCAGCTCGCAATTAGGCCTCTATCTGAAATTTCATTCATAAACTCAGACGACAAAACAACCGAGCCACCGACGACAAGATCAGGCCTAATGATCCACAAAAAATGTTTCTTGCTGTTTGCCAAACCCCAAGCAAACTCCAACAGTTGCTCTAGAGTCATAACTGCAAGGCTGCCGAAATTCACATAAACAACAGACCCGGGTTTCATGGATTCAAGCCATTCAAGACACTTAGTATCTTCTTTCCAAAGATTAGATTCCATAGATATCAACTGATTTCGCGGACTTTGATTTAAAAAAGAAGCAAATGGACCAATAGTATATAGAACAGGAAATATTGAATAGAGAGAATTCATAACATCACTCTCAAGTTCATTACAAGTATTGAAAACAATACCAGAAGCTTTGTGGCTTCTATCTGCCACTAAAGTGATAAATCTTATCATCAAATCATTAGGATCCGTTAACCTTACAAAACGAGGAAGATCCTTCAATCTAAAGTTTTTCAAACCTGGAATCCAATCAACTTCAGTGTCTACATATCCATTTGTTAGATAACTCTCATCTGCATATCATAATTCATAATTGCAAAAATCAATAGCTTGAAGCTATATATATATATATATATATATATATATATATATATATATATATATATATATATATATATATATATATATATATATATATATATATATATATAATATATAATTAACAAGGTTCAAAATCATCATAAATAGTTCACCTTTGAGTGGTAGTACACCATTCTGAAACAATATTGGAATGTGATAAGTGGACAAGAAGAAAGAAGCACTGCATGGGAAAAAGAGAACAATTGGAAGTACATGTTGTTCAGCAGATTCTACTGTAAATGGCATGTAACAATCAGAAACTAAGCAAGTAACAGGTGGGATAAGACCAGCAGTGGCAGATTCATGAAGTTTAGCAAGAAGTTCATCAAAAAAATGGTGGAAGTTGTTCACGATTGATTGACAAAGAGAAGGTATGTCTTGAGTAACATCACCATCATCACCTTCCATTGGAGTTAAACCATCTGGTATGGTCACAAAGGTAAAGTCAGTGAAACCATCAAAGGCATTAGGACCCTTTGATTTGAGCAAGCGTTTGTGATTGTATTCAGTGTTGACGAAGGTTATGTGAAAGCCTCTAAGGTGAAGAAGTTTTGCTACTTTCAACAATGCATTGATATGGCTTTGAATTGGAAATGGAGTTAACACAGCATGTGGTTTTCTCTCTGCAAAGTTACTCATCTTTGTTATGTTTTGTTATTTTAATGTTAAAGTGAGTGTAAGTTTTTTCTTTCAAAGATCCATATTATACGGTGATTCTTTTTGGTTTTGTATGTTTTAGAACGTGCAACGCGAAGCAGCCATACTTTAATAATAGTAGTCAATGATAAAACTATTGGTTTCCATGTTAAAATTAAGGTCACATATCCTTAAACTTTGTTGGGTATCCTCTAGGAAGGAAAAATAACTTATGAAAATTCAAAAATATTCCTCAAATAGCCTTTATTTAAAATTTAAATTGTCAATTAAAATGTGAAAATAAAAATATTTAAGAGAAAATAAAAATTTGACAATATAACCTCAAATAGCCTTTATTTGTTGGGTATCCTTAAATTTATTTTTAGGTAAAAATTTAGGTCAAATTTTCTCATAAATAAAAATATTTCTCATTTAATTTCTTCTCATTAGCCTTTAATTGACAATATATTTTATCTAAATTTTTATTTTTTAATTATCTTTTTAAATTTTAAGTCTAATTTGAATTTTATTTATGTTATATTAATTTTAATTTAAATAACTTAAATTATTATTTTAAAATGAAATATTAATATATAAAGTAAAGTTGTAGGTTCTAATATAAATTTTTTTTTATTTCATCATTGGAGTGAAAATTATATGAGTTGATTCAAGATGATGTATCTTAATGGATTTTACAAAAAACTCAAAAATGAGTTGCACCATTAGAGATGCTCTAAAGAGAATATGAAATAGTAGGCCCTCTTATCAGTATAGAGAATATAAAATAACTTACGTTAAAAACATTGGTTTTCTAAAAAATAGAGAATATTGCTTTGAAAACAAATAGTTAAATATACTACTTCCTCTAATTCAAAATAACTGTCATTTAAAAAAAAATTGTTTCAAAATAATTGTTATTTTCACTTTTCAATATAGTAATAATTACCATTTTTCAATTGTACTCTTTACCTTTTATTATGGACACTACTTCTAATATATTAATAGAGTTAATTTTGTAAAAGTGTAATATCTTATGACAATATTATTACATTCTTTAATATGTGTGCAAAAATTTTAAACGACTGTTATTTTGAAATGGAGGAAGTATTACAGAGTAACTTTTTTCAATGTATTTTTTCAAAGTAACCTTGAACATCTTATCTCCCATATAAGAAGATTGTATCTTCTGGAAAAGTCAAAATTATCCTTTCTGATTTTTATCTAATACTTACTTAAGTTTTGTTTCTCACGTTTGGTATTCATAAGGTCTAAAATCAATAAATGTTTAGCAGTCCTAAATTCAAACTATTCATATTTACGATGTCCAACCTTTCGAATTCAGTCACAAATGTAAATGAATTCAAATATATATGATTACTGTTGGAAATCCACCAAATATCTATGATGAATTTCTGCTCAATGACAATGAATTATGAGAACGAAAAGAAAAGGAAGAAGACAATTATTTTCTGCAGAGTTTCTCTCTGTCCATAAACTGTGGAAAACTTTGTTATTTACTTGCAACTGCAAATTCTGTGAATACAACTTAATTGACTTGATTACAAAAAAATAGTGGTTACTCTCTCTATTTATAACTGAGCTTGCACCCTAAGCCCAAAGCCCAAAATATCTATTTTGTTACTAAATCAAATCTAATCTATTCTAGACTTAAATCAAATCTATTTAAATCTAAACAAATCTAATATTTTCGACACTATGAATTACAATTTAATACACCACCTAATTCATTGTGTCTAAACCATCTATATTCATCATGACTCTTAGCCTTCTGAATACTTCGACTTACCCTCCCTTCGTCATGATGTCTGCAATCTAATTCTCAGTTCTGCGGTGTTCCAAATTCATCTTCCCATTTGCTACCTGCTCTCGAAGATAATGGAACCTCATTTCGATGTGCTTACTTCGACCATGTGTTATTGGGTTCTTCGCCAGATTGATAGCTGACATGCTGTCGATCTTCATGGTAATTGCTTCATGATCTTTCCTTGTTATCTTTTCGACCAAGTTCACCATCCAAGTTGTTTGGCATGCACAAAGAGAAGCAGCTATGTATTCTACTTCGCATGATGATAATGTCACTACTGGTTCCTTTCTTGAATTCCAAGCAACTGGTGCACCACCTAGCATAAACACATATCCTGTTTTTGACTTCCGATCTTCAGCATCACTACACCAACTTGAATCAGCCTATCACTCACTTACATTATTTTCCTTTATCAGCTGCAGGAAACAAAATTCTATAATCGAAAATTCTCTTGAGATACCTTAATATCCTCTTCACTGCTGCTAGATGTGATACATTTGGCTTCTGCATGAATCTACTTACCATACCTACACTATATGCTAAGTCATGCCTTGTATGACAAAGGTATCTCAATGATCCTATAAGTCTTCTGTATTGGGTTGGATCAACATCATCTTCATCTGCATCTTTCGACAGTTGTAGTCTTGGTTCTGCAGGTGTCGAAGTTGAGTTGCATTCTTCCATTTCAAATCTCTTGAGAATTTCTCCTGCATATCTTCTTTGATGCATCATTAAACCTCTACTGCTCTTGTAGAATTCGATACCAAGATATGAAATCTCACCCAAATCAGACATTTCGAATTCCTTGTTGAGATCACCTTTGAAGTCTTCGATCTCACTTTTACAGCTACCTGTTATCAACAAATCATCTACCTAGAGACATAGTATAAGAAATTTACTCTTGCTTCTTCTTACATATACTTAATGTTTAGTTGTGCATTTCATAAATTCCTTCTCCCTTAGGAAACTATCAATTTTCTTATTCCAAGCCCTTGGAGCTTGTTTCAATCCATACATGGCTTTATGCAGTCTGTACACCTTTCTTTCTTCGTCATGTTTCACAAACCCAACTGGTTGGTTAACATAGACTTCTTCATCTAAGAGACCATTTAAGAATGCACACTTCACGTCCATCTGACATATGTGCCAACTGTTTATTTCTGCTAGACCAACAACCAACCTGATTGTTTCGATCCTAGCAACAGGTGCAAAAACTTCATCAAAGTCTATTTCTTCTTTCTGTAGAAATCCTTTCGCCACAAGCCTTGCTTTGTGTCGAGTTACTTCCCCTTTCGAATTCGTTTTCACTTTGTATACCCACTTGACATCAATTGCCTTCTTGCCTTGAGGCAATTCGACAAGTGACTGAGTGTTGTTGTATTCGATAGATTTCACTTCTTCGTTCATTTCTTTCACCCACTTCGAATCCTTCAATGCTTCAGCTGCATTAACAGGTTCGACATCTGCATAGAAAGCATAATGTACCAGCTCACCTTCATCATCTATCACATCATCTGATGTAATCACACAATCTTGCAATTTTGTAGGCATGCGCCTTGTTCTTTGAGGTCTGCTTATACTTGGTATATCTGTTGGTTCCTCTTGTCGAACTTCTCATTTGACTTGAGTTTATGGTTCTTCGAATAGGATTCCCACTGAATCTTTCTTGACATTTTCAGTCTGATTCCATTCTTTAAACTCATCTATGATCACGTCCCTGCTGATCACAATCTGCTTTTTCACTGGATCGAACAACTTGTAGCCTCATGTCGAATGATATCCAACTAGAATCATTTGACTTGACTTGTCATCAAGTTTTCTTCTCAACTGATGTGGCACATCTCTATGTGCAATAGATCCAAATCTTTCAGATGACTCAAGTTAGGCTTCACCCCAGACCAACATTCTTCTGGAGTAATTCCTTCTAGCTTCTTTGTAGGACATCTGTTCAAAATGTATGTTGCAGTCGAAACATCTTCACCCCAAAACTCTTTAGGTAAATTCTTGCCTTTAAACATATTTCTCACCATATTCATGATGGTTCGATTCTTCCTTTCTGCAATTCCATTTTGTTGTGGAGTATATGGTATAACACCCCAAATTCTACCCGGTAGTTATAACGAAAATCAGAGTATTTAAAAGCTTCCATCACATTTGGGATATCACATTTCAACATGTTACAACATATAAAAACAAATACATAACACTTTAACTTCGGAGGATCATATTACAACTTGCATCAGCTTTTAAAACAAAACCACTTCTTTTATTAATAACCCAACAGAATCATAATTACAACTTCAAGTAACATCGTATGTTTCGTTCAACTAAAACAACTTAAGGGGCAACATATTATTTCATATAATTCAACTTAGGATTCAACAACTAAAACAATTTCAACAAATAAATAATTATTTAATCATTCTCCCCGAGTGCTACGTATCAGAGCGACGACACTGACTCGAACTGACGATGTACAACTACCCTTCTTTATTTGAGCAAGTGTTTGTGATTGTATTGAGTGTTGACGAAGGTTATGTGAAAGCCTCTAAAGTGAAGAAGTTTTGCTAGTTTCAACAATGCATTGATATGGCCTTGAATTGGAAATGGAGTTAACAGCATGTGGTTTTCTCTCTGCAAAGTTACTCATCTTTGTTGTGTTTTGTTATTCTAATGTTAAAGTGAGTGTAAGTTTTTTCTTTTAAAGATCCATATTATACGGTGTTTCTTTTTGGTTTTGTATGTTTTAGAACGTGCAACGCGAGGCAGGCATACTTTAATAATAGTAGTCAATGATAAAACTATTGGTTTCCATGTTAAAATTAAGGTCACATATCCTTAAACTTTGTTGGGTATCCTCTAGGATAGAAAAATAACTTATGAAAATTCAAAAATATTCCTCAAATAGCCTTTATTTAAGAGAAAATTTAAATTGTCAATTAAAATGTGAAAATAAAAATATTTAAGAGAAAATAAAAATTTGACAAAATAATCTCAAATAGCCTTTAATTGTTGGGTATCCTTAAATTTTTTCTTTAGGTAAAATTTTCTCATAAATAAAAATATTTCTCATTTAATTTCTTCTAATTAGTCTTTATTTGACAATATATTTTATCTAAATTTTTATTTTTTAATTATCTTTATTAATTTTAAGTCTAATTTGAATTTTATTTATGTT